GGAACAAAATAGAATTAGATAAACTAACAAAGACTATAAATAAAAAGAAGAGGGAAGATGTACGGGAATTCAATACTCAAATAATTAATGAAACAGTGATTTCAGGTACCAGCATGAAAACAGCTGAAAAGAGATTCGGAATTGAGAGAAATCAAATGTATGCAATAAAGAAACCAGACGGAGAAGTGGCATAAAAAGAATGAAATCATAAGAGTAGTGGAAGATTTTTACAGGGATATGGAGCTCAAATGAACAGCCACAGAAAGAAGCAAACGCGGTAACTAGAGACGTACCTAACATCACAACAGAAGAAATAAAAAGAGCGCTTAAAAGCATGAAGAGAGGGAAAACACCTGGTGCTGACGGAATTAGTATAAACCTTATAACAGATGCAGAAGAAATTGCAACAGTGAAACTAGCCAATATTTAAAAAATACAACTCCGAAAGCCTGGGAAAATGGATCAATTATTTTGACACATAAAAAAGGGGATAGAAAGGACCTAAAACCTACCGACCCATAAGCCTCCTTTCAGTTACTTACAAACTGTACACAAAAGTCATCACAGCTCGCATCTCTGACAGCCTAGAGAACAGGCAGGCTTCCGCAGTGGACTCTCAACAACAGACCACATCCACACGCTCACCCAAATAAGAGAAAAAATAAACGACTATAGGAAACCATTGTGTATGGTGGCATTCATCGACTATGGAAATGCATTTGACTGTACAAATGTCAACAGTATTAGAAACTATTCGAAGACAGAGATTAGAGGAGGTATATTGTAAATATTGGAAGATATATACGACGAGGCAGCAATCATAAAGGTCCACACGGAAACCAATAAAATACCAATTATAAAAGGTGTTAGACAGGGCGACACCATCTCACCAAAACTGTTTACAGCTTGCCTTAAAGAAATAGGAGACGACTGCCTGAACAATCTAAGATTTGCAGACGATATTGTTCTCTTCAGTGAATCATCAAATGATATGCATTAATTAATAAACGATCTGAATAGAGAAAGTCTGAAAGCCAGACTTAGGATAAACGAAAAAGACTAAGGTCATGTTCAACAGTTCAATTCGAACAGATGTATGTACAAGGCGTAGCGTAGTCTAGGCTAGAGCGCCTTCGGCAAACACAGTAGCATACTATGAGTTTCCTTGCCAAGAAAAGTCTTTAACTTGTCCGTCCTCCAAGTTATGACCTATGGATCAGAAACACGGACTTCAACCAAATTACTGGAGAGGAAACTAATGAGCGCCCAGAGAGGGATGGAAAGGTTGGTGCTGGGAATTATCCTAAGAGACCGATGGGGGCGACGTGGCTCAGGGAACAGACTTAGTGGACGATATACCTGGGAGCAGGGCTGTCGCGACCGTCGCTTTCTTTTGCACGCATTTAATCTTCTTCGGCAACTATCTTCTTAGTTTCGATATTGTCCAGACTTGCCAAAAGTCATTTGTATGGCCTTTACTCGAGGATTTGTAAGGCTCTGTGACGTCATGTTAATGCCAAGAGCCGCTATAATGATATCTGTTTTCATGTATATTTCGGTTATATCAAATACTTCATAAAAAAAAAAAAAAAAAAAAAAAAAAAAAAAAAAAAAAAAAAAAAAATCTTAGATATTTCCTCTCAATAATGGTTCCATGCCGTTAGCAACCTTCAGAAAAATATTTTTTTTTTTTTCACTACAGAAGCTAATACAAGTTTCATCTGTTATATTTCCTTGTCATTACTGTATGGGTCACAATTCAAAGCAATTTTGTTTTTATATCATAAGTGAAGTGTGCAGTCATTGTGATGCATTCGTCATTATCTTACAGAGAGTGATACCCTGTAGAGCCATATCCCCACTTAGGCAATAGGCATCACAGTCGCTGCAAACCCCATTGGTCCTCGACAGCGTTGAAAGCTACCATAGGGTGATGAAAGTGGTGAGATGGTGGTCTTCCTCCGCCAAGTCCATCTGCCAAAACCTGTGTCATGCGTCTGCAGAAGCGAAGTACTTTGCTGAAGGTGTGATACTGCGGACGGCGTCGATGGGCGTTGGGGATGGGTGGGGGGGCGGGAGATTGTGAGTTGAGGTGTGTGAGGTCCACTGTGATGCATACACCTTTAGTCTTTGGAATGAGGACCATCAGACGACACCACTCGGAGGGCTCGTCACCCGCAGGCGTGATTGTTCCCTGCTGCACCAGGGAACCGTTTTTCCTTTACTTGTTCCCTGAAAGCAAAGGGGATGGGCCTAGGTGTGTGCATGGCAAAGGGTGTGGCACCAGGCTTCAGGTGGACCCGCATCGGTGGGCCTGACTGTGCAAAGATCCACTTCATCTACTATATCCTTGAGGCAAGCGTAGTAGTCCACAAATGATTATCCTGCAGCTTGCTTGCAGGACATTAACTCTCTGCGGCATAGAGCTTCGTTACATAGGCTTCTGAAGTGGGCTTGAAGTGCATCAAAACTTCTGTTATTGGGAGAGGTGTGTCAGGAGAGACGCAAAGAGTATGCTGTAGTAGCCGTTGAACATCCAATGACACATAGCTTTGGAGGTGGATGTGCTGTATGTTATGTGGGAGATTGTGTAGGCATAGTCATCGAACCGGCGACGCCACTGACGAAAAAAATTACATGTGGCATCAGCTTACACTGTAGGAAGTGCGGTGACTACAGGCTTGATGACAACAGTGGCTGGAGTAGCACCTGCGGCAGGAACTGGGTTTAACGCAGGGCCGTACTTTAAAAACTTTCGCCAGTGCTGGCGAACCTCTGAGTGAGGGAGGCCTTACTTTTAAACCCAACGTTCGCCAGGCGCTAACATCTTGCATTCCCGCTAAATCTAGCGCAAATTTGTTTACATCTGCAGTGCACATAACATAACCTAAACTTAATTATTAACCTCGAGAGAAGACGAAAATGTTTCCGCAATAGTCTCACTTTATACTATAACAAAGGAGTTAAAATTTAACTTTATGCTATAACAAAGAAGTTGAAAATATCTTTATACTATAACAAAATTAACTTAATACTTTATGCTATACTACACTTTATACTATAACAAGGTTAACTTTATGGCCCATACTTTTAAAACCTTTTGCTTTTTCTCGCGTTTTTTTTCATTCGCCGAAGCGCTAGATTTATCAGGAATCCAAGATGTTAGCGCCTGGCGATCCCTTTCGTTCGCCAGGCCTGGCGAACACCTGCCTTAGTTTAAAAGTAAGGCCTCCCTCACTCAGATGTTCGCCTGGCGAAGCTTCGCCAGGCGAACGCCAGCATTGGAGAAAGGTTTTAAAGGTACTTTATACTATACTATATCAACTTTACACTTTTATACAAAAAATAACTTTATGCTTTAACAAGAGTTTAAAAATTACTATTTTACTATTCCTAACTGATGTAAGATATTGAACTGTAGGCCTACAAGGGTATCATTAAAGACGCCTCATTATAGGGCGGTGGTGCACTACAGCTCTGTTTCTATAGCCAAAAGTAAACATGCCGCCATAAAAAACACTTCTGGTAATATTTGTGAAAAGAACATTATCCTTACAACCAAAATAACCTAAATCTAAATAAGTCATCTCGGGGGTGGGGGGTAGGAATACAGCTGATGTCTTGAGCTCTCGACTGGAACATCGAAGGTCTTGAAAAAAATACGTATATACGTTATTTCATAACAAATTATGATTTTAACATATTTTATAATTTCAATGTGATTCCTACATCCTATCATACACAAATATGTTACTAATTTATAATTTGAAAGCAAGAAAATGGTATTCAAACAGCTCTCTTCGCCAGGCTGTTCCAATATGATCTTTCGCCAGCCCTGGCGAACGTTCGCCAGGCATGATTTTAAAAGTACGAAATTCCGGATCGCCCGGCGAAACCCTTCGCCAGCCCTGGCGAAAGGTTTTAAAAGTACGGGCCGCAGTGGCAAGTGTTGTGGCATTCAATGTGGAGGCAGGAGTAGTACTGGCTGGTGAATAGGCGTCGTTTCAAAGTTCAAAGGGGTCTGAAGTAGTTGACCTTAACAGACACCATCTATGCAGTTTCAGGGGGGGGGGGGGGGTCCAGAGAGGTGCCTGTTGTGCAGTTGATGTCAGTTGGCCTACAATTAAAGTAAAAAGGTTCATGTTTCGGCGACGGTCCTTTTGCCTTTGTTGTTCCACTTGTGTATAAGCCTCTTCCCTTGCCCTTCTCTCATTGTCTTCTAGTGTTGATGCATGTAGGTAGTGCAAGGAGTGAAGAATTTCCGATGATGAGCCAGTACCTGCATCAGAGGAGGCAGCGTTTGGAGTGGGAAAAGGCAAGGAGTAAAAGCAAGGTTCAGTGGCAGCGGCGGCGCTGTCATCACCCATGTGATGAGGGTGGTGAATCTGACCACTGTCTGGAATAATTGATCCCTCGGAGTCAGACATGGTTCTACAGTGCTTGTTTTAATGTAAACATTTACCCACATGTGTGGGCGGAGCCTCGGTCTAGTTGCTCAGTTGCTGTCTCTGTCTCTCCTGGCCTCAGTTACCCGAGAGTCGTCGAGGGTGGACGTCCTATGATGACGCTAGGTAGGAGGAAGGGAGGGTGGGCGCCTGGAACAGCTATACCCTCAGGAGGCACACACACGCAACACTAATCACTGAATTGCACTGTACACTAAATCACTGTTCTACTCGTTGATTGGAGAAATTCAGGGGGAAACCAGTGCGAGATCGCGGCGGCGTAATGTCTCGGCTGGAACTCGGCACGATGCAAATTAGCTCTTCTTCGTCATGGGGGGGCGATACTGGCATACTCATTGCGCCATGTTACGAGTCACTGTGTCTGTGATGAAGTATCGTAGGTTGAAAAAACAGCATGTCCTGACGAGTTGTAATAAGCTCCAAAACAGTGAACAAAGGGTCAGCATGCAGAGTCATCAGTCCGGTTGTCTCTCTCTCTCTCTGAGGCGTCATGCAGGACGCATGCGCTGGGCAGTAAGGTTGTCAGATCGCCTT